AAGTTGATTGGGATGAACCCAACCTTGAGCACCCGGCAGATTTATAACAAAGTGGAAGTTTTCAGCTCTGGTAAACAACGGTTGAGGCTCAACTAGATCCAACGTCCTTCGCTGCCGAATATCCTTCTTGCAGGTGTGTAGATCACCTCAGCTGCCAATTAAAAATACATTTCGGAGATCTTCAAGCCTCGGATTTGCCACCAGCTTCTCACTCATGTGGAGAATTAGGCAAATCCCGTTGAATTTTGCGAATTGACGCTGATTTTTTGGGGCGGAAGGAGGTAAAAATTCAGCCAGTTGTCCCAACCGCTGTTTCAAAATGCGTAGCCTGAAGGAAAAGCGTCTCTCGGAAGAACTAGAAAGCAGAAAATAAATTTTTACGCCCAAGTTGATGGTTATTGGATATCCATAGGGAACGAACAGGGCTTTTAATTAAACAGATGCCAATGGGTGCAAAATTTAAAGCCCTATCCTGACTGACCCTTGTCATTAATCCTGTGCAAAAAAAATCAATATATTGGGTTTGGTTGTCTAGTGCCTTGCAGTCGTTTTCCTTTCCCGGATGAATTTGGCATCTGGGTCCCGTGGTAACCTGCAGCATTTGCAAGGAAAACATAATTAAATGGGAAAAAAAGTTGAGAAAAAGCCAGAAATCCTTCCTGTGTTTTCACAAACTGGTGTTACTTAAGGCAAGGTGTGATAGTTGGGCTTCCCTGGTATTTCAGCCAGTTTTTAAAGACTTGGAAAGCCGAAGCACAGATAATATTTAATCAGAGTTAATGGCTAAAATCAGCTTTGGGGTGCAAAACGTGGGGGGACACGATTCAGGGATGTTGGCAAGAGTTTAAGAAAGGAAACATCAGCCAAAAAAGAAAAACCAACTTCACGTCATCGTCATCTTCCGTCGTGGAAGATTCAACAAAAGCTTTGTCCCCATCACGCTCGCGTTCCCTTCGGGCGCGTTAAGATAATGGAATATTTCTTAATTTATTTATTTTTTTTCCCAAACATTCCCGAGATTTCGAGTTTAATCTGAATCTTAATAGCCTCATTATTTCGAAATTATGGTGCCCTTTGCTTTCTAAACTCTTAATCACGAGGCTCTTCAAGCAGACGCCGGCGGAGTAATCAGCGGCGGCGTAATCAGTAATTAAAGTGGGCGCCAACGACAGGTGCCGCTAAGTGCTAATCAATTAAACGCCTTCGGAATCGAGAACTTGATTGAAGTCTTGAGAGCTTGCTTTGATCCCCAGACCTCAAAGTTGTCTTGGAGTTTTGCTTTTCAAACGGGATGGGGACGAGGCGGTTTTAACTATCTTGTCGTATCTGGAAATCACCCGGAAGATCTATTTCACGCGTGTTTTTTTTTTTTTGAAAATACATCCCATTTTTGGAAGCGCTTTTGCTTTAGAAGCTTCTGCGTTTGCAGAGAGAGAGAAAATTGCTGCCGGTTGGGGTTTTTTTTAAAAAAAACCTTGTGATTTCCATTTGTTTTCTCCCTTTGCCGCCCTAACCAAGTATTTCCCTGAAGCTTCTGGCTTTTCTTAGCCCCGTATTTGGTTCTGTTTAATCTTTTCAAGCTGGTGAAGACACCCAGAGGTGTTTTTATCCTTAAGTGTGGGGGGTTTTCCCCCTAGAAAATCATTAGTATCACTTTCCTTTCTTCCTCTTTTTTTTTAAGACGGCAGCGATCGAGTGATTGAAGTATTTGATCGCGCAACTTGAACGCAAGAGCTGTTGGGAGACGTAGTTCAGAGGAGAAAACACTGGCCGGAAAGGTTTTCATACCTTAACAATCCTCCCTGGTTTTTAACTTCTTTCTTCTCTCCGGGGGGAAAAAAAAATGAAACAAAAGTGGCTTTCTGGGGACTTGGCAACTGCTCGTATCCAAGGCAACTGGCGCCAGCCTCGTCATGTGTTTGTAAATTAGTTTGCAGCTTCCAGGGGTGCTGAGGAAGGAGAGCCCCGTGCTTGTGGAGTGGTGGGAAATGAGGTTCCCTCGGTCCCGTTTCCGAATAGTTTCGACTTCTAGTGGGAAGCCAACAAGCTGCCGTGCCTAAAAGTTGGTCTTTTCTTTCAGGAGACAACTCACACATGAAAAAAAACAACAGCTCTTCACTTTGGGGTGCTTCATTTCTTGGCAAAATGTATTTTTTTGACATTTTTTCTTGCCCAAACGCCGCGTTGATTGTCACGTTTTCCCATGTACACCTGAGAATTTTTTAAATCATGTTTAAAATCCCTTCTTGAGTCTTGCTTAGTAGCGTTGGGGTTTCTTTCTTTATTTATTCATGTCTTTAAGACTATTTCCTGCGTGTCGCTGCATCCTTTGTGGGTAGCTTTAGTGCCCGTTGCTAAACGAAGGCGGTAGGAACACATAAGGTTGCGAAGAGCTCTGCAAATAATCTGCAGAACGGATATAGCAAAGAAAATCAGAATCAAAGCGGATGTAGAGCGGCTTCATAAAGCAACTACTAGTCCTCTGCGACACTGTAATGGATGTTTGTCGAATATCTGGTAAAGAAAGTTTATGTCTGGACGATTCTTGACTCAAATAAACTGCCAAAAACGGTCTTTGGGCATCCAGAAACTTTGATTTTCGGTGAGATTCCTGAGATTGCTGCTGCTCCACGGTCCTAGTGAATATAGAGCTTTTCTTCTGCTGCTAAAAAAATGTGAAAATAGGAAAATGAAAATATCTTGTGGCTTTGCAAAGGTCTACTTGGCGTTTCAGCTCAGGTTTCCTTCGACCTGTGTTCTCCCTGCAAAGTTTCTGGGGCCATCACACCGTGTAGTTTTCAATCTTTTTATTTTGTAACATCCGGGCTCCCGTTGAAGAAGCTTCATTTCGACATCCATCCTTTTCCAATAACTCCGGGATTAGTGGCTTCCTAAAACCCTCTCGAAGCTGCCTCGTTTTACGGTTTCCTTGGGAATCCTGGCGGACAAGAGCGATTTTCTTCCCTCTCGGATTCGAGTCGTTATTTCTCTCTTCTTAAGCAGAAGAAAGGACGAGGAGCCTGTCAGACCCTTCGTCATTGATTTTCCCGGAGCAAAGGGTCACATGTTAAGTACTATTGATAAAAAGCATCGTCACCGTGTCCATGGAGACCAGGTTGAGGTGAAAGGGAGCTGTTACCGCCGCCACGACAGCTTTCGGCGGAGCTTTTTCCTCTAATCATAAGGAAGAGCTTCGGCGTCCTGCCTCGAGCGTTAGATCAAACCCGGCGCTTCGGTGAGAGCTGCGAGATGCCGTCGCTGGCGACTTCGAAAACAGAGAAAAGGGTATTTGGGGATGCGTAAAAAAACCCAACACTGGGTGTTACAACTCCGAGATGCTTCTGCTGGACTTTATTTGGTTTTTTTCAAATGCAGTTAGCATCAAGGTTGTGTGTTGACCGGTCCCACCGAAGGGTTAAACCACCCTGGCGTGATTTATCCCGGCCGGTGGGATTTTTTTCCATCCCCAAATCATTCCTGTACCCCACGTGAGCTGTGCAACAGGTCCCTAAAAGCATTCTTGGCTTTCTTCTTACTTATTGTTTCCTCTCCATTTTTTTTATTTTCTTTTTTTTTTTTTTCTCTTGTGATTTCAGAAGACATTTCTTCCTTTTTTCTTGGCTCCTTCTTCCTCTCTTGAGGAAATATCTAAACACTCCTCTACCACGGGTCCCTTGATGGGTGCAGAGATGGGCGTCAAACCTCTAGACCTCCTCAGAGCTGTCAAAGACGTTTTAAAACCAAGTTTGCCTTCTCCCATAAGCATTTTCTGTGTAGGCGATTTCAATATGCGAAGCGGCCAAATCTCTTCTTCAAACAATCGCTCCCCGCCTTGAAAAATGGAGTTTGTTCTGCCCTAATGCAGGAGACTCATCACCGTTTCGCTCGGCGCTGAAAAGCCCAGGTATCGATTTGGAAACGTATAATTGATTGTAACAATAAATCACCGGGGCGGTGTATGGGCGAAATGGATTTTTTTTCTCTATTGCGATAATTAATTTGCTACGTGCTCCACCGTATTTATGCAGGGGGTAAGCAACTCAATAACGGCAATAAATTGCGTTCGGTCAAAAAGCAGCCGCTGCGACACGGTCGGCTTCTCTCGGGACCTGAAAATGATGATTTAGTGGTCACGGTGGTGTTGGGTTGGTGGTTGGACTAGATCTTGAAGGTCTTCCCCACCCTTCATGAGTCTGTGACTGGAGACTTGAGAAATGTTGACCTGTCAGCTCTCTTATAATCCCAGCCTAATAAATTGGGTGGTGTTTTTCCTGGATAAATTGATAAGAATTGTAATAAAGAAGAACAGAGTTGGGTGGTCTTGATGGAGGAGCAGACAGGATGGCGAATGAGGTCCCAAAGGTTCGTGATTTAGCGTAAGAAAAGCGAAACCAGGTTGCAAAAAAATTCCTTACGACACTCCGTGTCTGAGAATTCAAAGAAATCCGCGTGGTTAAATATGAAGCGGCGCAGATACCTTCAAAAAACCCCGAGCGGTTGGTCTCGGTCGATCGCGACGGGTTTCGGATGCGTTGCGCTCGGCAGTAAGTTCGTTCTCGAGAGGTTTGATTCTCTTCTCTGAGAACGTCCGCGGAATGAAATTGAAAAATGAATGAAAAATGACGCGGAGTCGTCGGAGCCGCCCGCGTTAATGTTCGTAGCCGACGAATCGAAAGTCAAAAAAGAGGCGATTCCGGCGCTTGATCGAAAAACGAAATGAGTCGCGGCCTCGCAGCTGGCCTTTCGAGTACCCCGGGTATTCTTGGACGGAAAAACACCCCAAAAAAGAGAGAAAATTTGCTGGATAACCCCATTGTCTATGTAGCCATCTGTTGCTAGGAAATACACAAGTTTCTTTTGAGATTCGATTTGGTTTTCTTCTCCAATACATGAGAAAAACGCGGCGTTTTCCATTCCCTTCCGTGCTTTATTTCTGTCGTTTCTCAGGGGAGGGAGGGGAAAAGAAAAAAAGTCAACAATGATATCTCTTTCTCTTATAGAGCATCAAAGTTAGCTGGTTACCCCCGCCGCCAGGTACTCAAAATGGATTTATTACGGGCTATAAAATCCGCCACCGAAAGACAACCCGCAGGGGTGAGATTGAAACGCTGGAGCCCAACAACCTCTGGTACTTGTTCACAGGTCAGTGTTCACGTGGTGCAAGGTTTTTTGATGAATTTAAATGCTCTGGGAATAAAATATACTTTCACTTCAAGGGAACATTGATTTCGCTGCTGGCAGGTAGCGTTTATTGCCTTGGACAAAGACAGTCGTTACGGTGCTTTTTGTTAACCGTAATATTTAATTTTTTTTTTTAACTTAATGCCTTTAGGGTACGTTCGTCTCGTGGATTTTGAGCGTTGATGAATTTGAAGCTCAATTTTTCACGTCTGGTATCTCAAACCTCTATTGGTTGGTTTGTTGGGTTTTTTTAAACAGAGCGAACAACGTCTCCTATTTTCTCCCAGGTGCAAAAATATCCATTTCCTTTCTTTTCCAAAATTTTTCAATGGGAAAGATCTCAAATACACCAGTAGATCATAACAAAATGATAATTGCAGCGAATGAAAGTAGCCGGATGAGTATCGGAAGGGTGGGAGTGAATTGTGGTCGGTGACCCTGAATTTCGGCCGCTTTCTTGTGTTACAAGATGTAACCGAGAAAGCAGCAAAGCATCAAGGGAGAAAATCAAATTTTAGCCAAGTCGGTGGCGCCTTTGCCACTGAGTTCGGTATAACCGTGATTTCACCCCGATATGTTGACTTTCCCGTGGAAAAGGCAACCCATGAGGATCACGAGTAACCCTGAATTGACCGTTTCAGAAGAAACCGGCTCGATTTCGGCAGGAAATTTTCAAATTAAATGTAAGGAGAACGTTTTTACAAGGGACACCTCAAATAGTGACGTCTCAGCTTGGTCAGCTCTTATTTTAGAGCCGGCTTCTATGTCAGCTGAATGTTAAACCGCTC